AGTAAGGTTTTTCAAAATTATTGTACTTAATCCGGCAGGGACAACTGAAGCAGCTCAAGACTATGACGTTTTTTTTAAAACAAAATATATATTGTAATTATTTATAGATTAATTAAAAAATAAAAAAAAAATTTTTGTGACACTCGCACATGTAATTTATAAAAAATAAACAACCTTAACCATGGTCTAATGTCGATGAACCAAAACATGCCGTTCAAGACTATGGCTTTGTTTGATGATGCTTTTTTGGTTTTTTAATTTTTAAACTATTAAAAAACTAAAAAACTTATAATTGTAATTATATACTAGCGTTGTTAAATTAAACCTATAACATTTTAGGCTGTAAAACAAAACTCTCATAACTTATTATGTTGATCATATTAATTTGAATCCTACAGTCCAATCTCCAATATAAATAGAGATTCATTTATATATCAAGTTTTATACATTATATTTATATAAATTTTTAATAATACATCCCTTCACTTTTACTTAATGAAATTAATATATATTTATTAATGATAATTATATATTTTATTTAAAAAATTATAATAAATTTCAAACAATTAAAAGTAGAAGATGAATTATTAAGATTTTGTGTAAATATAATATATAAAACTTGTGTGTAAACTATATTTTTCCTCCTCTAATATGTACAATGTAGTTAATCAGCTGGCTAGTTTAGAGAAAGCTATCAGCCCCTGAATTTGAAAATGAACCAACTGATAGAGTTTGACTTTACTGTGATTAATTTAAACAAGGCATTAATAATGGGTTAATTAGGAGAGATCAAGGAATTTTTTATTTAGGCCTAAATCTCAAGTCCATGCAATTTTAGTTGAATCAAGAAACACAATCATTGAGAAGCTTACATTTCACCTTAATTACCAAACTTAGTTTAATTAGATGATGATGATTGTTGGGATTAGGTCCAACATCCATTTTGGGTCACATGTAATAGGCCCAACTATGCGCTCACAGTCCAAGAGAATGAGACATACTCACGTGGGCAGCATTAAGTGGGTCAATGGGATGCTTACGCGTGCAGATGGATGTCAGCATTTGGAGCTATAAATACCCCCCAAACTACCTCCGATATAAAGGTAATTAATCTCTACGCTTCTCTCTCTGCAATTACTCTTTGAGAGCTTCTCTCTCTAGAATATTGAGTATTGCTGACTTGAGTGTCGGAGTGTTTTCCTCAAGGAAACATCCTCGGGATTTTTAGGTGTAGCAGCAGTTGAGGATTTCAATAGTGTTAGACTACGAAGCTGCCCAAACAATGATTAAATTATAATGCATGCATCCACGCAAGTTCAAGTGGCGTTAAGAAGAAATTTGTCTTTTGTGTTGTTTTATTCGCAAAATTAAACTTCTCTCAAATGCTTGGATATTTACAAAGAGATAACCGTTCCTATATATCAACTAAGTAATTCGCTAACTAAATATCCACACACATGCAACAAAAACATTTCAATCATAAACCCATTATAACTTTTGTTGGACACTCAGCAAGGGTGATTCACCCAAGATAGCGCACTTCATGTCACCATCAGTATATCTCAAAAAGTTGAACCCCTAATTAATCATTCTTGTTGCCAATGGAAACTTGGCTTTTCCCTTGAGACTGGGGAACTGTTATGACCACAATTACACTACAGTATGGACCAGAGGCAATTAAGTTCATCCTCCTCCTAGTACCAAACCTGTTTGATGGTTTAAATGTGTTGATATGAAAAATGAGCATAAGTTCTGAATCTACAAATTCTTTTATTGGAATGTTAGAAAATAAAACATTATATAGTCCTAGAAATACCTTAATTCAATTGTTGAAGGACATGATTCCAAAGACATAGGTATATTACATCCGGACAACTGAAATAAAATGGCAAGATCAAAGCCATCCGACCAAGATCAAAGTGCTATAACGTACAAGTATAAATGGGCATGGTCGTCTGTTACGGGTTGACATAAACTTAATGTTACCGGTTGACATGATCAGACTTGATAAAAACGGAAATGAGGACCCATTTCTGAGCGGACATGAGGATCAAGAAGATGAAAACTTACACATATGTTCGGCAGTGTCTAAACACGGTTGTTCGGGGAAGTTCAGAATGCAATTTCTTTTTTGGATTTGATTAATTCATTCAGTTATTCTTTCACATTTACGGTTGAGAGGGTTATAATTCTATTGTCTCGTATTTTTGGAAGTCCAATACATATCATGCCTCAGAACTCATTTCTTTTCCTTTCCAATTTCGTTTTCTTTTTAATTCCTTGCTGTCTACTGTCTCTAAACACACACAAATCCTTTTAAAAGAGCTTATGCAATGCAGATTATTAACTTTAATTAAACTACTTTTGACATTAGTTTGACTACCCTATATATGCTCTCTACTTAGTCCACTGTTGAGGGTCCATGCTTTTAAGTAGCCCTTTGTTCTGAGTGTCTGTACACATGCTTGCTTTGAAGAACTTTGTCTTCTATTACTGAAAAAAACAAAGATTAATTATTCTCTCCAATATTAATTGTAGCGAGGAGACTCGTGACTGAAAGTAGGAGGAACAACAACTGAAGAAGAAACCTTAAACCTCTTACTCGTCGAACCAATATCATCATCATCACAAACACTACTACTTGGACCTATCTCCGGACTATCAATCCACCCCGCTATCATTTGATCCAAAAACCAACCGTGCTGCTCGTTACCAAAACTACCTTCTCCAATATCTGACCCATCTGAATCCTGCCGAAACCCGATCCACTCGTTTCTGCAATCCGAAACGCTAGAACTATCCCAAGAAGCCGGCTGATCATCCACCGCCGCATGTGGCACAATGATGCTCGGCTGTACCACTTTCTCTATGTGCTTCATGTCCACCGGATTATTGTACGGGTAGTTCAGATTTCTTAATCGGAATAAGCTAGCAAAAGTGAAGTGGTCACTCACCCTACTTTTTGAACACTTATTTTTCGTTGACCTAGCCATGCTACTCTGCAAATTCTTCCTCAATTTTGCTTTCAACGAAGAGAAACTAAGTGCATGTCTCCCATCTGATGATGAGTCCGGTTGGCTTGAGTTCTGAACCGACGTGGCAAAGTTGGTTCTAGCATTTTCTCCGCGTAGAGCGTGGGCTGCTTCGTCATAGGCTCGAGCTGCCTCTTCGGGTGTGTCATAGGTTCCAAGCCACAGTCTTATGCGTTGAGATGAGTCCTTAATTTCCGCTACCCATCTTCCGGATGGCCTCTGTCGCACTCCGACGAACCTTCTAGGTGTTAGTTTGGATGGTTGAGGCATGGTCTTGGCGGTTGTGCTGGTGGTTGTGACGGTAGCGGGCCTGGTTGTTTCAGCATCCGCCATATTTTATGACACCAAGAGTAGTAAAGGAAAGAATGCAATTTAGCTGAGGAGATGTTTTAGTGATCTCTTGGTTGCATTGAGCATTAGTTGTATCAGTCCACCTATATATTTATACACAGCCTTTCAAGGTGTATATAAATTAATTATATGCGAAATGTATTATACTCATCTCCATTTTTAGCTTGTTCCTTTCCTCCATCTATTTTATAATCCCTCAATCGTGTGAATTATTTTACTCTCCAAATAATAGCTTCGGCTTACATGCTCCAATTAAGTTAATTAATTAAAATATATATAACAAGTTAATGACAATCCTTGAAAGAAATAATTATCATCATATGTACATGTATCTTATATAACCTCTGTTATGTTATTTTTAATAGAACTTATGTAATTACTATTTTTTTGTTTTAAAATAATAGATATATTTTTTAATTTATCTTTAGATTAAGAATTTGGGGATAAATTTTCTTTTTACTTATTTTATTTTAAAAAATAAATAAACAAAAAAAAAATTATTGTAATCAAAGGATAGAATATTTGTAGTTGTGCCAAAATTTTATTAACTTATCACAATATATATAGAATGGTGCTTATTTATTTATTTTTTTTAAATTAAGAGAAAGATTATTCTAAATTTATATTGTTTCAATAAATTTTTATTGAAAAAAATTAAAATATTTTATTTTTAAAACACAAATTAAACTATTTTTTATTTTTTTATAGTATTTTATTGAAACAACGTAGTGTTAATTTTTTTAAAATTTTTTTT